AAACAAGCCAGCATTCCTAAATAGAGTTGAAAGGTTTGGTGGCATTCTAACAGAAGTCAGTTTTTAAATGCAACCGGTTTTCAATTCTCATTCCTAGTCATAAGTCTAACGTACTCCATCATGTATCACTGGTATGTCTAAAATGAGAAGAAACAGGAACATGATGAAGTCATAGACAAGTCAAAGCGAAAGAGTTGAGAAAGCTGATGTCACACTGTAGATCAGGTAGACCAAAGAATTCTAAACTCTCACAGCGGTGTAATCAAATTCTCTGCCTCTCCAAAAAAAGGGTTCCTATTTCACAAACAGAAGTGCATTGTAGTCAAGGACATAAATTATTCTAGGCATGCAGAAGCTAACTTACACTTTCAGGCATACTCAGTAAAAAATAGACTCAGTTATGTACTGTTATCTCAGGTGATTGCACAATTGGTTTCTGTCTGTGACTCATATTTACTTTAGGTAGGCCTAGCCTACCTAACCCTGTGTATAGATCAGCACTGCTATAATACTAGGTGTTAATGGCCACAACAGTTTCCTTAATTTGATTTGTCTTTCAAACAGAAACATTTTTTCCAAAGCTGCATAGGCACAAAACCAAACATTTGCTCTATATTATCTTCAGTTTGTCACTACACCACTTATTTGAGAATGCAACTTTGCAAGGAAATGTAAAATACCCTAATATGCTGGTCTTTGTCACAAAAACAGGGCCTCAAAGTTCAAATGCTTGCTGTTTGTACCTCGGGGCACATATCCAACTGGTTCTACACACACACACACACGTCTTAAAGAAAAGACATGGGGGGAAAAAAAAACAAACACCTGCTCTATGAAACATTTTCCTTTCACCTGGCTCTAAAGCACAAAATATTTAATTAAGTGGGCTCTAATATGGACTGAAAACTCTTTGAGACTAACCGTTTACTTGGTCTGTGCATTCTCTATGGTTACCGTTTTTCACCTTATCAGGTTTCACCTGTTGCTAGACATGACCAAGTGTTCTATTACCAACAGTTTGCTGATGACAGACATCACTACTAGTAACTCTGGCAGGCACGCACCACGCTGAATCATACATGCTGACAAAGCCAAGTAGAAACCACCTAAAGTAATTTAGATTAAGTCACTTTGGGAAGATTTTAGCCCCACCTTATCACAGAAAGTTATTTCATTCGCTTATACAGTTCTATTTAAATACTTTTGCTTTACATAGCAACTCCATATATAAAACCCACTCTGCAGAAGAAAACACTAATTATTAACTGCACATGTGCAAATGAAAGGTTTGGTGCTTGAGCTGCCGGGAGCTCGTCGGGATTGCAAAATATAAGGTTTATGGGAGAGTTTATGTCTTCGGAGTTAAAGTGCCAGTTACTTCCTCATATGCTGACTTTCTAGTACTTTGACCTCAGTCGTGAAGCACTGACAGCTGGTGAGAAGCCAGCTCCAGGGGGCGAAAGTAATTACAGGTGCGGTGGCAGCTCGCCGCTTTGTAGCTTTACTTAAAACTTTAGAAGAAGACAATCAGTGGTTTAGTGCAGCAGTTTGGTGCCCACCCCCACTGATGGTTACATGATAAAGGTGCAGGAAGTTGAACCAGTGAGATACTCACAAATTTCTTTTTTCCATCTCCATCATCGTAGCTTTTCTTTGATTTCTTGTCCTTCTTGGGACCAGCAGCTGAGGCAGAACTCCCCGTCTGGTTATCCATATTTCTACCTTTTAATCCGTTTCCTTGAATTGGATGTCAAAATAAACAAGTGGAACAGTAATCCCTTTTTTTAGATTTTAAACGTCAATGGAAAATGCCAACTCCTTATTCCCAGGGGCCTAGGCTAGTGCCCAGGCTAACTAGCTACAATTAGCGCAGTGCTGCTAATAATTTGGTAGAAAGCCAACAGACAAAACGAGCCCCTGTTTAAGCCGCCTCTCGGTATCACTGGAGGAGGGAAATTCAAAGCACAGCCCAACTCAACTCCTCGAGACGAAAAGTACGAAAACAACCTGTTGCCTTAATAAAATGCAAAGTGAGGACGTCACTCTATTATTTCCCACATGCAACACAAGTCCAAGTTTTTAGAAACGTGGATTTTAGGTCCTGAATGTATACGGTACTATCTGAGCTAACCTTAGCTTCAGCTAGGCTAGCTTGTAACAGTTAGGTAAAGGAAAACAAAAAACAAAAAAACTCTTTCCGCTATCCACAAGTTGTTTCGACGACCACAGCGCGAGCGGTAAGTTGGTGTTATCAATGACCTAGGTCGACGGTGTGTCCCCAATTTGTTTCCATGGCTGTTAGAAGTTAGTAACTTTTTAACCCCTGGTTGACAGAGGGGAAACAAGTACGTCTTTAGCAATAAAGGCGTCTTCCTGTTCTTCTGACAGTCCGCTTCGCAGTAGTTGGAGGGGGGGAGGAGCCTATGTTCTGGCGCTTCACCTGAGAGGATTTATCTGACAGCTCTAACTCCACCGCATGCAGCTGATCGGCTAGACAGTTTCCAGGCATGCCGTGCAAGTTGAGACTAATAACCGGTGAAATATTTACATGACAAAGACGAGTGAAACAGACACAGCTGTGTTTGTGTCATAAATGGAACCTTACTTTTTTCTGATTACTTTAATTAGCTTTTTTTATGTATACTGTAGAATGCAAGCAAGTTCAGGCTTTTCTATACAGTGTTGTGCGAAAGTCTTTAGCCAACCGTCAGTTCTTAATGTTTTGCTAGGAAAATGGAAAATATGTGCAGAAATCTATTAAAATATGTGCAAATGTAGATGGAAGTACAGTATATAAGGCAACACGATCATGTGTACAATTCTAACAAGCTTGACAATCAATGCTTAGTATGACCACCTTTATATTTCAACACAGCTTTAACTTTTGTACAGTTATTTTCTTTATGTAATTTCTTTAAAATTAAATCTAGTCTCTGTCCAGGCTTGTTAAAGGATGCTATCCAAAGCTTGTGTTTGGATATTGGCTGCCTTTTTGTTCAATTGTCTGTCAAGATGATCCCACACTGCTTCAAAAATGTTGAAGTAATGATCAAGCAATCACGCAATCAAGCATTTAAAATTACAAATGTTTTGACAAAATTTTCAATACCACTGGCAGAAATGCATCCCCCAACCGTGACAGCCTTCACTGTCTTTTACACTTGGATGTGGACACTCACTCTTCTACTTCTACATTTGACATCCCTCAGCCTTTTATGTGTGTTTTCCTTACTTAAAAATTACACCTTTCCACTGAGATCATTTTGATGACTTCTTCTTTTGCAACTTCTTTCTCCACTTGTTCAGTTACCTCAATTTTTTTAAGCACACACTGCACACCATTCTTAGACACAGCAGGTTTTTGACTAATAGCTCTTGGTAAAATCACCTTGTTGCTAAAAACAAACTTATAGATGTTTGCAGTAGGCTGCAAGTAATAAAGTGCCTAACAATACAATTTAAAAATAAGTTATTTTCTCTGTTATCTGTTATGTGTAGACAACACAGTTTCACCCCTTGGATTAGCTGCCTGTTACCCTTGAATGATTCACAGGTCAGCTTTAAGTGGCTTAAAAATTGTCTGGTGATGATGTGGACTAAAAATTAATAATAAAAAAAATACAAAAAGTCGAAAGGAAATCTTGGAAAGAAATTAAAAATGTCTGGTGAATTATTGCTTATGACCACTTTAAAAAACATTACAAGAAAGCCTCAATTATTGGAAACAAACTATAAAGACGTTATACATATATTTTCTTATGCTTATCTGTTGCCGTGTCACAGGGGGGAGAAACCTAAGCAGAGAAGCCAAGACCCTATTCTCCATTTCATCTGGGGAAGGTATCCAAGAGGCGGGCTACTCCGATGCCTGAACCACATTAACTGGCTCCTTTCGATGTGGTGGAGTAGTTAATACTCTGAGGCCCTCTTGTATGAGCACTAACACTAGGCCCCCATACTACCCAAGCCTACCTCAGAATATGAACAATGATATATAATGTAATTATTTGGAATTATATATATTAGTGTTTGTGTGTATGTGCGTGTGTGACACAATGTAGCTCAATGCATTTATAGTGAAGACGACCTGCTGAAGTTCAAACTGAGCATCAGAATTTGGAAGAAAGGTAATTTAAGGAAGTTTGAATGCGCCATGATTGCCAGAGAGTGGTCAGAGTGGTAGTTCTCTGGGTGAAAATGCCTTGTTGATGCTAGAGGTCAGAGGATGGTCATGCTGCTTGAAGCTGATAGGAAGGCAACAGAAATTCAAATAATCACTTGTTACAAACAAAGTATTCAAAAGAACATTTCTGAATGCACAGCACACTGGACCTTTAAACACCTGCACAGAAGACCACACTGTGTACCACACTGAAGCTTTAGGCAACCGAGGCTATAGAAGATGGTCGAGTCCCAGTTTGGTGTACAGGAAATTAAACCATCGTGCCTTGTACCAATGGCTCAGTCAGTTCTAAAAGCAAAAGGGGGATGTAAACCAGCACTAACAAGGTGTTCTGAATGAAGTGTCCTGTAAGTGTAAGTAGCGTTACAGTCCAGCACTAAATCGGTTCAAGAGAGGTATGAAAGAACTTTTTTTTTTCTCCAGTAAAATCTACTGAATTTCATGTAGCCTGAAAACTCAGTGTTCTTTTAGGGGGTTATATTTATATCATAATTCTAAATCTTTGAAAATCTAGGTGTAGGACTGACCTAAAAACTGTTACTTACTCTTTTAATGATGCACACTCTTTGTTAATCGCAGGCAGCTCATCTTATTCCCACAGGCTGGATCTAAAACAGAATTTGGTTAATGACGTCGTTTTTGGTCCTCTGCTTGTTGCTTTTTTTTTCTTTTTTTTTTGCTTCGTAACCACATTGTGCATACAACTAACCAGACTAGGAGCTCCACCTAGCGGTAAAAAATATCAACTTCAGGCGCTGTAGTGTGTGGCTAGTCAGACAAAGTTAATTGACTAGTAGAAAGCAATTGTGGTGTTTCCTGCTCTGTACTGTTTTTTATTTTTTATTTCTTTTCATACACAAATGCAATTGGCACAGGGCAATGATTAGAAAATGGATACACAATGCATGTGCAGTGAATGACTGCATAAGGAATTTTCTGAGTGTGCTAAATAATTGCCCTACTCTTTTTTTCTTTTCTTTTCTTTTCACAGAACCTTCCAAATAAGCACAACGCTGAGCAAATTTGGCCTTCTGTCTCCCACTTACATGGTGTGATTTCAGGGCTGCACCACAGACAAAAATAGTCACCACGTTTAGCTCTCCAGCGCAGTTTCACATCTCAAACGAAGCATTCAGTAAACACTGACTGAATATCCTAAAGATAAACATTTAAGTTTCCCTGGCTTAGGTTATTTTGAGATATAAAGCCCAACACTTCAGCACTTGCACAAACCTACGCGCACATTACACGCGCACAAGTCCCGCACTCACACGCGCGCGGGCACAGGATTACAGAGATAGGCTCGTTTTAGCTGTCCTGGTATGTGAGAGATGTTTTCCAACAACAGGATTGGTGAGGATTTGCGCATTACCAGTGGCACTGAAGCAGACAACCGTTTGGTTTATCGCAAAGGACTCGCCATACTTTTCAGCCTCGAGTCTTCATTCTTCAGAATATTAGGGCTATAAATTGCGAGAGAAAGGTTAATTAAAAGTGAAGGTGCACGATAAGAATAGCAGCCCTGTGGCACTCGTAAAAGCCCCTCTACGGACGCTTTGGATGATAAACAGTTGGCCCTTCACATCGGCCGCTGCAGCATCGTTTTCAGCTTTGCTATTCATTTACAGGCGTACAGACGAGAATATTGCCACTTCAGAATACATTTGAATATCTTTATGCGACGATATAGGTCAACGATCTGGCATTTGATAATTTTACAATGGACAAAAGGTTGGAAATCGTCTGGTGACTGTTTCGTTTCACAAGACAAGACAGTTAAGTTACAGTCTTACAAAGTATTTCACATACAGACTACTGTATAGATCATTTCTATGTTGGCAAAGTGAAACATATTTTAATTAGACAAATCAAATCAAGAGAGAGAGATGGGGAGAGAAAGAGAGAGGTTCACTTCCACATAGTCAGTGCCAAAATGTGAAGCCAATAAAATGAGGTAACGCAAGCTTGGGAGCATAGCTGTAAAGGAATAGTATTGATTACGCTTTGTGTACAAGAAGGTTTCAGCAATTATTTATCAGTAAATACAAGGCTGTGGGTCTCTAATTAGAACAGGAATGACTGGCCACTTATCCTTCCACCAGCCGTAGACCTGCACTCCTCTTTGCCATCTTTTTGATTTGGTATCATGAGTATTATAACTAAAGACATGGCATCATATAACATAAACAAGTATTTGACTGAACAGATTCCAGGTTACTGAGGCCTTAGGTTGTCCAAGACAGCTAACAAAGGCAACAACTTCATTTGTCCAATACTGTATGTGCAGCAGCAGCAGTTCAGGGGTCGTCCTTAACCCCCCTGACACGAGTCTCTCTAAATACCAGTAATCCAAGAAATTGGACCTTTGGGATCTGGCCTACTTGTAGGAGGTCCGAGCCTCTCTCAGTGATCTGTCATATGGCATGGAGGCGAAGAAAGAGTTCCGGAGCTGACAGTTGATGAAGAACACAATAAGCAGCACCAACAGGAAAAGCAGCAGGCACATGACTATGTATGTGATCAGGTCCGGTTTGTGGAGCTCGCCCTCCCGGAGTCCTCCTCCCCCTCTTCCCGTGGTGGGTCTCAGGAGTGCAGCCACGCTTACAGAGCCACCGTGGGAGGCATTCAGGGAGGAGGGGGCGTGTGTGGTGGATTGTGCCACGAGCACCAGGTCAAAGTCTGGGGTGTCGGTGGAGTTGAGGAGGATCTGTCTCAGCATGGCGCCTTGCGAGCTCACCGACAGCGTTGGTCTTCTGGTGAATGAAAACATGTGGATAAGGTTATGGAGTCTACTGACCCTTTCTTTATTCGGCCTGCCCAGTTTTCTATTTATGATACAACAAAGCGATACAAAGAATCGGCAGATGTCACTTTGCGGCCAATTTGAAAATAGTGTTTTAGAATAAGAATATCAACGTGCGCTTCTGTTAGTCTGACAAGGTCACGGATACAAAACGCAGGACACAGGATCAGGACACGGTGATGCCATCACGAAAGCACTACAAAGTAGCCCGGAGCGACACTGTAGATTTCTCGAAATACTGCTTGACATTGTGATTTCGCTCTTTGCGGAATCCCACAGCGACGTTACTTACTTTGGTGTGAGCTGCGAAGAGTTCCGCAGGTGAACTGAAGAAGACAAAATCTCGGCTCCGCATTCCTCAGCGTCCCCAGCTCTGTCTGCTCCAGCGCCACCGAGGACGCGCCGTGAAAAAGCGGTGGGTCGATAGTTTCAGATATACCCCCACAGACCATATGTCGCCGGGTATGATTATAGCGCGTCACATCGAATCGAACTGTTTAAATCCGTATGAGCGCGGATCAGACATCTACAGCAAAGCGACACACGCGAGTTTCCACTTGTTGGCTTTTAAATCCAAATCGACTCGCTACGCATGTGGTTGCGCACAGACTGGTTACTGTAGCAGTATCCAAGTGACTCTGGGTTCTGTCAGAGGTGCTGAACTTCAACGACGATCGCTGGTGCGCACACGTGTGCTTGTGCGTCGTTGCGCGCAGTCGGCTAGAACTACTTAGCCAGTGCTTGTACAGCGCGCAGAGGAATCAGCGATGCCCGCTGTCGAACCATTTGGCTTTCCTTTTATCCAGTAAAGGATCGATATTTGCTGAATTCACACTACAAACTGTCTGCTCTTACGGGTGCTCCGATCCAGTGCCACTAAAATGAGATGAAAGGAGATATTAATGGGAGACAAAATGCAACAGCACACAGCTTCCCATCTCCTCCCTCGGTTGCAAGTGTGTGTGTGTGTGTGAAAGTGTTTGTGGAAGTGTGTGTGTACGTGCGTGCGCGTGCGCGAGAGCGATTAGGAGAGGGCAGGGACAAAGCTAGAGACACGTCACCGGACAAGGACGTGTGTTGAAAAAAATCTATCTATCTGTCTGTCTATTTATCGTCAGTGTCCCTCCGTATAATTTTAGTCGATGGTGAGACAAATCTGACTCAGTGCCATTTCTGGCCCGGCGTGGGGAATGTCTCACACTGGTGATGAGAGAACAGGGAAAAGGTGTGAGGTTGGAGAGTGCCTGTAAGAACTAACGGGGTTATTTAATCGTAGGATGGGTCCACCTATTCTACAATTGTCTTACAGTCTTAGCGTCTGAGTAACCCACAATGGTAAACATTAAATGCATTTAAATAACACTGCTGGTCTATTGCAGTTTAAAAAAAAAGAAGAAGATCTATTTATTCAAATGTGATTTATTTGTTTTGAAACCTGTGTGTGTGTATAAAATATGTTTGACATTAGTACTCGACACTAAAAAGATGTTCTAAAGATGGTGATCGGAGGACAGTTTGCTCTTGCGTGATGTTTCTGAAATGGGTGTGCATACAAAGCGAAAGTCCCCTAAAAGCCGTGCCGACCTGTTTCATATTCATCTGCACCTGTTCCGTCACAACAGAATGGCTGGCAGGCATCGAGAGCAAGGACAGAGGGGCACACACACATGCACACACACACTGTATGCAAACAGCAAATTAGAAAATGACTTTGATGCCGCATTGACACAAACTTGCATGCACACCCACACTCATACATTTGAGGCAAACTACAAATAAAAGACAAACACCCAGAGGTGTCCTGGTGCCCCACATCAACTTTGTATTCATGGATAAAGCGGATTACAGTGAACCACAGTTTGATGGAATGTTAGTGTCATATGGGAAATCTAAATACAGCCTAAAGTCTTGTTTACATAGTGGAGGTACAGCAGTAATTATGTCAGAAGACTCCTGTTTATTTTTCACATTTTAAATATATATTGCAGTCTGCATCCATGCTGTATTTTCTCTCCATGAGCCACCTCATCTCCATCACAGATTCAAACACAAATGCACATGTGAATCTGCAAGCACAAAGGAAATTTGACCCATTTTGCGTGAGTCTCTTCAAGTAGGCATCAGGTTGACAAGTGACCTACTAACACCACTTAATCAGGTGGTGTGGTTTAATTGAAAGGAGGATAAGAAAGGGGAGAAAAAGGTTGTGACATCCTCTAATATATATGTTGAATTATGTCTCACTCTGTGGCTAATATAATAATTATCAGTCTCCGAGTCACAAAGAGTTTTCATTAGGAATGTTGAATTGAAAGTCTCCATCAACTTCATTAAGTGTCTTTGCATATGAAACTTTTTCTTTGTGTTTGTTCATGTGCCCCTTTAAGCCATATATGCACACGCAAACACTAAATAACACGCCACTGCCCCTGCGTGCATCATATTTCTACATCCCACACTTTGAGTTATCTTTGCCTCACTAATTCCCCCGTGTCTCTTTTCCATTTCTCTGTTGTGTGGTCCAACTTCTTTCCTCTCTACACCCTCCTTCTCCATCTTTTTCTATTTCTTAATCCTTTTAATCCACAAAAAAGAGAGGAAAGACAACTCATCCATGAAGCACTGTGAACTCAGAATAGAGATAAACAAGAAAACTAAAAGTTTGGGGATTTTTCTGACTTTAATAATGTTGTTTTACAAGAAGAAGAAGGGAAAAAAAGAGAGAAAAGCACTTAAAAAGAAGCTTAATGTTCCTATTGATGGGGACCTAACCAAAAGCAAACGGCAAGCCAATCAAGTCAACAGGGATTATGTATGTGTAGCCTACACAGTCCAGCCACACCACTCTCTCTTTCTCATTAACACACACAGATAAAACACGCAATGATACACACTCCTCTGCGCTGTCAGCTAACTGGAGAATTGGGTCTGCTCACGGGCTGTTATTATTTTCTGGATTTTCAGCGGGAAAGATGAACTTCTATAAAGTCCTTCCTCAAAGCTTTTACATCAGTAAGTCTCACTCACCATTAATTATTGCCATGTCAAGCGATTGTGAAGAAAAGGGCACCAACAAATGAGGTGGTAATCTGTGCTCCTGGCGATGCTTTACTCAACTGTTACTGCTAATTCCTTTGAGGCTAAACAGCTAAATAGACTCCGCTGAGTTTTGTTTATTTTTTGCTTCATGAAAGAGTAATATTGTTTTCTTGCTTTCACAGCAGGAACTTCAATTTGCAGTGCAGTCATTTGCTGCAATGGCAGGAGTCCAATAGCCATACAAACATACTGTCTGCAGAGGCCATCCATCTCTGCTACACTAACACATAAAAACAATGTTAGCAAAGCCCCCCAAATCATCAATGATCAATATTTCTGAACAATAAAACCCCATCCGTTTGTGAGTTAAGACAGGCACAGGCAGATCCACATGACACCTGACAGCGGCGATGTTCCCAGACACACTCTCTAGACTACAAGACAGAAATGACAGAGCGAGACGGATTACAAGAACACTGACACACACGTGTAGGAGACATCTGGCATGTGTAAACCACAAGGAGGAAAATACACACGCAGCTACACACTTACATAAACACAGACAGAGAAAGGAAAACACAGCACAGACGAGATGATCACTGATGGGTGCACGTGTAGTTAGGGGTCTTTATTCTCTTATGTCAATGCACTTCCATTATCAGTGGGACTGATTGCCAACAAGAACCTAAAACAAGCTAAAAACATGACAGACAGACATCTCCCCACTTTTATTTGCTCTAATTGTACTCATTTTCTTCCAACTATCTTCTCTTTATCCTCTGAGGGAAAAATCATCAGGCAAAATAGGATTTCTCTTTGCCAGCGGATAAAATGCCCCCCCTTTGGCAGAAATCAGATGCTGCACAATTAGTCACTTGATTATCTCACCAGCACACCAAATGCTGCTTCTCATTTCAGGGAGAATTTATAAGAGATGGTTTTAACTTGTCTTACAGTAAAAGGGCAAAAATACCCAATATGAGGAGAGGCTCTCACATCGCAACATT